TTACAAATTATTTCGGGAGCTTCAGCTCTGAAAGGATTTGACAGCATACAGCTCTTGACATGTTGGAGGACCAACATGCGAACCTCCACAACTCTATCAGTCAACCTCTTCAAGAACTCTGAAAAGATTGGCTGAAAGGCTTTGAAGATGGTAGAGCCTGGCAGAGAAAATAGGTCTCCAACTAAACTAACCGCTTTTAAACGAGTTTCTAGCTGATCAGTCTGCACATGTTCAAAATTTTACTTTAAATTTATTCATCAAACTAAAAATATTCATGTCAGGTAGTATGAAGAGACGAAATGCCGGACATTGGATTAGTATATACCAGTAACTCTCCTGTTAGGTATGGGACAATTCCTGATAAGATTTGGGGAGCACACCGATATACATCATAGATGACTTCATGGTAATTAATCTGATGATTCTCAGACTTGTTGTCTCCTGACATTGATGATATAAGAAACTGTTTAATGCCAGACTCAAGCTTTCCTGCACACTGTTCTATAACATTCATGGCAAGCCTCCTAGCAGCCACAGTGATATCCTAGTATTTGAATTTCACAAGGTCAGCACACAATGTAACTTGACCCAGAAAAACTACAAAATTAATTCAATAGACCAGAAAATAGAGTAGATTCTTACACTTCTATTACGACCTAATATAGACAATACAATAAACAAAAGATCATCTCGCAATTCCTCGCTCTCTTCTAAGAGCACAATCATAATCGTTTGCATTGATGACAAAACAGTTTCTTGGTGATCATCTCTGCATATGACAAACTTCGAAACGTTAATTATCAAATTGAAGCGGAAAATATACCTTCGGTAATAAACATTTAGAAAGAAGAAAGAAATTCAGTCAACCAATGAACAGCAACAATCACCCCCCTCCCTGGGCATTTTTAGCAGATAACATATCTTGCTACTAGCTGTATCCCATGTTAACTTTCTATTAGAGGGTTCACATTTTATGCGATAAGGTTCTCTTGTTTCAAGTATTGTATCTGTGTTGCATCTTTTATAGGAAAGCTATTTTTAAAAATAACCAACCAATTGATGCCCATTATCAGACTGATCTATAGACATTATCTTGGAAATGTATTGCAACATAGATTAGAGTTCAAGTAACTTAATCAAAGTAAATTAACTCATCAAATATAGCGGAAAAGAAGTGAGCACCTTAGAGAGATGATCATATGCTATAGAGGATATGATAACAAGATATTCCTCAAACTCATGTACAAATATTTTAAAGAAACAAAAAAAAAACGAACCTGGCAACCGCAAAAAATGTACTGAACATTTCATTCACCAGATCATCACATTCAAGATCTAACATTACAACACATGACCTATATTTGGCAAGAGTCTCCAAAATGAGTACTCTTCTACCAAATGATGGACCACTCGTATCTTTCAATCCACTAAAAGTTCCCACGATCAAGTGAAATATGTCCTGCAAAGAAATCCGGAACAATCAGTTGAGACTGAGAGTACACATTGACAAAATGAAAACAAAGTATATCCTTTAACCAGTTGACTTAATAAAATAAATGCACCTTTAGCACTTCATCACTATAAGGAGCTTCAGGTGCAGTAATTCGAGTTATCTCACAAATACAGGTTGCAACTAGAAGCTTGACGTCTCTATCTTGATGCTTCAACAGCTCTGGCTTGACAATTGCATTAAGTAAAGGCTGCATTGACTCCAACGTAGATGCTGGAGGTGATTGATCCAAGTCCGAAAGACATGATGCAGCTTGCTGCAAGTTGGGAGGAAATAATCATTAATAGTAGCATAAATTAAACCTAACTTTTCATGTGAAGTACACAAGTCATGCAACTATACGCATCCATATACTGATTATTAGAAGAGTGTTTAGAGTATCGTTTAAAACTCAAAAATTCCAACACATTAATTAGCAAAACAATGGCTTAACATAAAAAATAAAATCATAAAGATCTATTCTTACCATCATGAGAAAATACAAAACAACATAGAAATTTCAATGAGTCTTATAATCATTTTGCAATTCAGAATAAAGAACCTATATTTCTGTTCCACTACTAGCTATATACAAAGTCAAATTTTTAGTAAACTAAAAGAACCGTACACAAACACAGGATAAAATTTCCAATGAGACATAAAAGAACGCTTAGTCAAAAGTCATTGTAATTGCATCACTAGCTTAACCAAGCACCAGTGCGCCACTGCAACTATAATTTTGAGAGCAAACCTTATTGACAAAGCTATCAAGATCCTCTTAAGTGCAACGCCATTCTCCAGTTTCCAATATTACCAAGTTCAAACTTCTAACTACATTAGATCACTGAAATATTTATCACATAGATCGAGTACAATTTGCTTTCACGTTTGGACTGAAAGTTGGCACATTGCAAAACAATTAGCAAAACTGTTTATTTATCAGAAGTGCTTAAATTTAACAAATCATGAGAATAATTTAACTTCATTGCCAGTCCTGTACTTTTTCCCAGTTCATCGAGAAACTCTGGAATCTCCCACTAGTAAATCTAGAGCATTCTCACAAGTGAATATAATACTTGGAATCCCAATTTTGTTTCTTCCACTCACTTCTTTCGCATCTAAACATGTGCCGCTTCCAGACATAACTGGCCACCACTAAAGCCACACAGCACGAAGGCATGAATATTAACCCTAAATCAGGGAAATTGTCCCGAACTTGTTCAAATTTAAGAAAATTAAAACTTCTAAACAGAGAAATTTCACTCTGAACAGTCGGTTGAATCCCTAAAATCCGAAAAAGAAGTATAATTTCAAATCTTAAGGCTAACTATGTTTAATCTCCTCATTGGTGATTAAACCCTAATTGAACTAGTTAATTTATATCAAGTAGCCGAGAATTTCAGTGTCAAGGAAGAAATTAGCAAAGAGAAATAGTAAACGGAACTCAAAATTTCTAATACTTGCTTTCGCTTTCTTTTCACCGGTTTCCTAGCAACCAAACAGAAAATAACTAAACTTTACAGAGCGTCAATTTCTCGAAACAGGAGAAATTTTTGAGAAATAACTTGGAAGAGAAGCGAAATTGGGTACACAAAATAAGGAATTAGAGAAATGCAAAACCTTTAAGAGCTTGACGAGAGCGTCTTTGGAAGAATGATGGGTCTCGAGCTTCGATCCCACCTCCCTGAGCTGCTGCTCGAGCTTTTGGGCCATCTTTTCGTGGGAGAGAGCAGGCGCTATCGTTTTAGGGCAACGACACCTCCCTCATGGAGTCGATAAGAGTGAGATTCAAGGTTGAGATGGAAGAGGAGCTTCTTGTTTGTCTGTTTTTATTGTTTCTGGGCTCTGACTCACTGAGTGTGCCCGAGTTTGTTTCTCTTCTCTCTCTTTCTCTCTCGAGCCTCGGGGGGGGTGGTGGTTTGGGATTTTTCGAACAACGATGCGAAATGAGCTGCAAATGCAAGTGAAATTTGCTGACTTCATAAATCGCACATTTCCTTTATTACCCCTATATTTTAGTCATTTCCCATTCATGTCTCCCCTTTTATTTTATTTTTTTGGTTAACACATTTTTTTTCTCTTTCCTTTTTAAAATCAAGGCATGTCATTAGTTGAACTTGTTTCATTATGGAACATTTGATTAATTGAAATTTTATTTAGGAAAAAAAAAATGGTTTCAAAATTCAAAAGTTTCTCAATTTTCTAATACAATGATATATTAATAAGAAATGGAAATATAATTTGGTATCTTGATTACCATTTATGAGATTATAACTTAAAATTTTTACAAGTAAACTTGTTTCTTCTCTTTCCTAATGATAACATATGATGATCTTCGTTGTTACAAAAAATTGCGGTCGTGCTTGTATAATAAGAAATATAAGATCTTTTGTGTTTTAGATAGGGTAAAGTTGTAAAATACCAAAAGAAAAGTAATACGAAAATAGGGAAAAAAAATTCCAAATCGAAAGACAACAGATGGGGGGAAGGGGGAACCAATGCTTTTGAGTTTTAGCATGGTACTTGGAAGTTGAAAGTTTGATACCTCGGTTGGTTGAAGAAGAAACATGGACAACTGCCACTGCCACTGCCACATGAAGGATAAAGCAACTGCTACTAGGTTAGTAGCATGAATACCATACCAGCTGATTGTTTATTTATGGTTCACTTTGCATCTTCTTTTTACCCACAAGTGAAGGAAGACTATTGATGTTTAAATCTGAACTTGGGGTTTTCTTATAGTAACCCCTAACCAATCTCCTAAATAGTTACTCTGCATTTGTCCATTACAACCCCTGTTAATGTTCTAATCCTCTTATTGTTCAATTTAGTCTTCAACACGCAACCTCTAACTCCTCTACAACTTAAAACAAATGTAATCAAAATGATTTAAGAAACTGATAAACCAATCAATCAACTTGCAATTGTTGAACCTAGGTGACCGAAACCTCAAGATCTACAACCTCTTGCTTGGCCACAGTCGTTATCCTTCTTATTATTGATGTTGTTACAAGTTCAAACAAATGAAATTGAGATTAGGGCAATCTGAATTGTTAAAATCCATTAACTAACCTCTTGTTGTTGAACCTAAGTGTTCATCTTTAAGTTGGGAAATTGATAAATGAAGAGGTTGATTCAGTAATCAATTTATGCATAATGTTTGGTTAACTGAATTGTGCTCAACCTTAAATCAAATATGAATCAAACATACATATGTGTGAATAAATCAGTTGGCTAAGTTGGTGTGTCGATCATTCATTGCACTCAAGTTCCAATTTTTTAAAAATGATTTATTACTTAGAAGGCAAGGAATAGAGTGAATTGACCTACTAGATAGAACATTTTTTTTTTATTCAACTTATTACATTTCAACTTTCGAGTACACTCTTGTATAAATAAATAAAAATAAAAACAAAAAAGGTTTTGTAACAAGCTACGTCGTTTCTCTTTGCGCAAACCGTCGTTATCGTTCCCCCAAAAAAAAAAAAAAAAAAAAAAACCAAAAACCCTAACAAAACATCCAGAGAAGTGAGAGAAAGAAGCCTCCATCTGAAATTACACAAAGCAGGAGCATTGTAGCCAGCAATAGCAATCGAAATATGGAGGGCAAAGAAAATCAGGAAAAAGGTCCTCAAGAGGAGGAATGCACGAATGGCGGCGGATCACTGTCGAAGAGCGCACAGAAGAAGCTGTTGAAGCAGCAGAAATGGGAAGCGAAGAAGGCAGAGAAGAAAGCTCAGGAAAAAGAGCAAAAGAAGAGAGAGGTAGAGAGGAAGCGGAGGGAGTGGGAGGAGAAGTTGGCGAGCTTGGGCGAGGAGGAGAGGGAGAAGCTGATAGAGGAGAGGAAGAGTCTGAGGAAGGAGAGGATGGAGCACAAGTCAGAGGAGCGAGCGGTGCAGACACAGAGACTGAGTAAAGCCAAAGAGTGCGGACAGAAGATCGTGATTGACCTCGAATTCTCTCACCTCATGACCCCCGCCGAGATCAACAGCCTCGTTCAACAGGTTGGCATTGCTTTGCTTGACTTCTTAGTCTTTGAGTCCGCGTTTCGTGTCTAGGATTGGATTGAATTGAATTGAATTGGATAGTTTATGACATTTAGGGCTTGTCAATGTATGTTGAACGAAGAAAATGATGTTAACTTGTAAACTTTTATTCTAGATTTTGTCCAAATTGAATGTGGAAGATGGATCAGTCTCGAAAGAAACTTATCAATCCCAATCCGACTGTTTTTGTAGGGATTGTACAGGCATGAATATTCCGTCTTTGACTCTAACTTGGATAAAATTTGAAAGATGACATTCGCTGCTTCTTCGTTCAACATACACTGAAGAGTTATTTAGTCCAACTTTAGACACCAGACGAGGCTGTAGTTTCTGAAATCTTGATACTTGATTACAGCTTGTTTATGTGTTTGTTTGGATACTGTAATTGTGAATGCAGATTATGTATTGTTACGCGGTGAACAAAAGGTGCAGCGAGCCAGGCCATCTGTGGTTGACAGGGTGCAAGGGAGACATGGGGAATGCATTAAAGAAGCTGCCGGGGTTTGATAATTGGATCATAGAGAAGGAAGATCGATCCTACATTGAAGCTCTGGAAAACAAGAAGCAAAATCTGGTGTATCTGACTGCTGATTCGGAAAATGTGGTTAATGAGCTGGATGCAAGCAAGATATACATTGTTGGGGGATTGGTGGATCGGAATCGTTGGAAAGGGATCACCATGAAGAAAGCAGAGGAGCAGGGTATCCAAACGGCCAAACTCCCCATAGGCAACTACTTGAATATGTCCTCTTCCCAGGTATCATCTGTCTCTCTGTCTTTTATAAAGAACAGAAATATGTCACCGATAATGTGCATATCATCTTTTGCCATTTTCGATCCAATTGGTTGATAGAGGTTTGAGTTAACCAATTTTTGTTTTGGGAGCAGGTGCTAACTGTGAACCAAGTGATAGAGATACTGCTAAAGTATTTGGAAACAAAGGATTGGAAGGAGGCTTTCTTCCAAGTGATTCCTCAAAGAAAAAGGGGATGCCCGGCTGATTCAGATCAGCAATCTAAACAAGTGAATGGTGAAGAAAATGAAGAGAAAGATGATCAATTTGGAAGCAAAAAGCAGTGTGCTCAAGTCAAGGGCCTTCCAATTCCATGATTTGTTAAGAGAATGTGCCTTTCTATCTGTGTTTATGTTGGAGTTTAACATTCACACCACCTATTCACGGTGTCTTTTTGTAACAGAAGACGATCAATATAACAATGATAAGTGAAATTTCATTACATTTTGTTGTTGAAAGTTGAAGGAAGCCTGCTATTTGGCATGCAATGCAAATATATTTTCTGCATTCAGCAAGCTGATCTTCCACCATCCCATAGCTACTACCTTTGATGGCCACCCAACCCAAATCCATGGGGTTTAGTTTTTCATGAGTGTAAATTGCATCAATTAATACATACTATTGACTTGACTTTATATATTTTTAATTATACAAAAAACAAGTAGAAGAAAGAAAAGCTGTAAAGGTTGGCATTAATTTTAAAAATATAAAGTTTTCAAAAATGACCAATTGGCTTCCATAGCATAGTGGTAGTGCGTTCGCTTCGTAAGCGAAAGGTCGCGAGTTCGATCCTCGCTGGGAGCTATTTTCAGTGTTTTTTTGTGTGTTTTATGTTGTGTCCCGACTAATCTTGATGTGAAAGGTTTAAACGTGGAGTCTAGAGACAATGCCGGATGGCGTTCGGTCAAGTCATCGACTAAGATTTAAGAAAAAACACCACCAATTAAAGCAGACAACAAAGACTACAGCGTCTTTAATTTTATTACAGTACTTGGCCCAAATTAAAACACTACAACTCGAAGGACGGCGCGACGTAACATTACATTATTCAGTTCACCAGTCAGCACTCTGGTGATTCCATTCCAGTGCATTTCATGCATTCACGCTCCACCGTTTGCACCATTTGCATGTGGCAGCTGATGGTGATCACCATTTAGCATTGCGGCAGAACCACCACCCTGGAGCTGTGTGGACAATCCAGACGCTGCGGCAGCAGAAGCAGCATTCACATTATTGTTGGAGACCCACGCATCGGAGGGGTTCATGTACCCGAAAAATCCATGACCATGCTGATGATGAAAAGCAGCAGCAGCCGCCGCCATAGAGCTGCCATAGTACTGGTGGTGATCAATTGCCCTGCTGCTGGTACCACTACTAGTACCCGCCCCCTTGGCCAAGGACTCGCTTCTCATTAAGGAGGTCGTGGAGGACCCGCGCTCGCCCTCCATCTCGCGGTAGCGGTGCAGGTAGAGGGTGAGTGGCTCGATGTAGTCATCAAAGCCGAGCTTGCTCATGGCCCACAGCACGTCTTCAGCAGTGATGGTCTTGCGCTGCTCGCGCTGGCAGCGCTCGTTGGCCTCCCCGGTGATGAAGCTGATGTACTCGGAGACGCACTCTTGGATGGTTTCCTTGGCGTCGTCGGAGATCTTGGCATGTGGGGGTAGGATCTTGCGCATGATTCTTATCACATTGGCTATCGGCATGAAACGGTCTTGCTCTCGCACCATGCACTCGTTATCATCGGCAGTGCCATTAGTGGTATTGGCATTGGAGGAGGAGTTGTTAAAAACATTGTTAACGTTGGTGGTGGTGGTAGTTTGTCTCCCCATCCCCATGCTGTATTGGTTCATCTCAGCCGGCCGAACGTTGATATCTGATAGCTTCAGCCCTGCATGGACTCTCAAATAATATATATTAGTATGTACACAAATAATCGTGAAAATAGAGTAATACTTGCAGTACATTTATGTTTGTTTTTTTTTTTTTTTTTTTTTTCATTTATACAAAAGGCATGAATACATAGACAAGGATCGAATGTTAACAATAAACAAAAATACTACTCATATTTGCTATTTGTATCATCTGATTCATCTTTTTAATAGAGATATAAATCATGTGATGTAGATTCTACCTCTAATAAAAAGAAGGTATAAATAATATTATAATATATGGTAAGTATACAACCTCTGTTAAAAAGATGGTATAAATAATGTTAAAACATGTGGTAAGTGTCATGTAGAGCTGGGGGCCTGGGGCCACGGGAGTAAGTACGTACGTCACCTTTTAGAAGCCAAATTAAGTGGAAGGAATCACATGTAGTATAAATTAATTATTAGGGTTTTGCCTTTCGTGCATCGATTAGAAGTTAAGTCATTGCAAAACTAGAATATCAATGTGCAATTAAAATTACCATTCTTAACATTTTTCATATAACATTTATACTATTTTTCTTATAGAAATGAGATTCATGAGATTCAATATGTTGATGAGCCATACTTCTATTACAAATATGATATAAAGTAGCATAATGTAGTAAGTGCAACAGCATAATGCAGTAAGTGCAACAGCATAATGCATGAAAAGAGAAGAAGACGAAAGAAAGCAGACAGATGGGGAGTGAGTGGAGTGGGACCGGGGATGCGTGAAAGGATATGCATGCATGGAGGCCACTTGTTTAACATGGAGTCATAGATTGCATGTAAGATGGTTGCCACTTGTAAACTATCGTCTCTTCTCTGGCTACGAGATCAGCGGTTACATGTTTTTCAATTTTCATCACCCATATATTTTCTAATTCTTCTGCACATTGACATTGCTAAGCCTACCTGCTGCCTATATACGCCTATTTATGCATCCTCTAATTAAGTTTCAGGCATATCTTTATATAAATATCTTCTTGGCCCGGCCAGTCAGCTCCTCAGACTCAGATATATATTTACCAAAGTTAACAAATGATGAGTGTCAGTGATATCGATCAAATGGACATGTTTGCCAATATATAATAATTCCAAGACTTAAGAATGATATATAATAGAGGAATCTGAACAGATCTATATATAGATCGAGAGTGGAAGAGGGGTAGGAGGTAGAATGTCTGTGCGTATGCGACCACTGATCTATTACTATTGAAAAAAATATATGAAATGAAATGATTAGTAAGGATTAAACGGAGCTTCGATATGTCCAAGGATGAGTACCAAAGAGCTGAAACCTCGCAACTGTATGAAGATAGAATTAGAACTAATTAAAAATTACTTTGTGAAATAAATGATCATCAAATTGGTGCAAATGCATGCGTTTCCTTCTAAGAGTATACAACTATAGATAGATCTCAAAGACGGACAGTCAGGCTCTGAATTAACCAAGATACATAATTCTAATACATGCAATAGATATAAACATATATATATATATGGTACCCCACACACACACACACACACACACATATATATCAAGAAGATCGTGTGTGTTTATATATATTTATTGTAAGAAATGTGAAATTATACGGAGGGAAGTCAATTATTAAGAAAATCAAGGAAGAATAGTTTTACCAGAAGCAGAGGTTGTGTTTGGGGTAGTCATGGTCTTTTGATAGCCATGGAAACCTCCTGATCGTTCCATTATATTTTCCTGCCCTGATCTGCCTCTCTCTCTCTCTCTCTCTCTCTCTCTCTCTCTCTATCTCTCTCTCTCAACAGTTTCTGAAAGAGGAGAAGACTCGAGTCAAGTTTGAACAAGCTATTACTTGGCAAGGGTCCACCTTTATACTGCTCTAAACTACGGAAAGGGATCCTCTCTGGATCCCTTCCTCCTAATCCATCAAGTTCGAGAATCTTGATCGTTGAAATTTGATTAAACGATTAAAGTTATTATAATTTTAAAATGAGTTTTTATTTGTAGCCGTTTGATCAAATTTCAACGATCTGGATTTTCGAATTTGATGAATTAGGAGGAAAGGATTCGGATAGGAGCCATTTCCCTAAACCACAACCGACGTGGCAATCCCTAGTTACACGTGGCGCCGCGTATTCATTTTATTTTTATTTGTTTATTTTAGTGTTCGGTAGTATATGGTCCAGCACTTGAGACGAATCGCTCTGTTATAACCGGATCACGTAATACTTAGTTGGGCCTTTTTTTTTTTTTTTTTTTTTTTTTTTTTGACTCAAATGTAAAAAGGTACTGGGCTTGCGATCATGAGTCCAAGACGTGTTCTTCAAATATATAATGCGATTTTTTCATCAGAAAATCGATTATTATCATTTACAGAAGCGAATTTATTAATTTAATTTCGTGAAAGAATACGTCTTTAACCGGACCGCCGGCAAGGCAACGATTTCCCTTACACTCTGATCAGGCAGGGACTAAGGGGTTTCATTTGCATGGCATCGTTTCCCAATCGTTGTAGCCCTGCACAGACAGACACCATGCGCATTATATATACACCCCACCACCACTACCACCACCAGCCCGACCACCACCACTCTTCCTCAACATTCATCGCCATTCAACTGTTGGTATTATAATTTGAAGAAAATATGGATCAAGTGAGTTTCTCCATTCTGGTATTCCTTTTGGTGGCGGCCATTGTGTTGTTGGGGCCTCTGCTGATGGGTCCGCTGCACCCTCCTGCTCTTGCTCTGATCCTGGTCATCCCCATCATTTTGGGAGTGGTTTGGTTCTTTATGAACCAGGCTTGAATCATGCCAATGGCGCGGCAATCATGTCCTATATCTATATGCATAATAACATGCAATCTATTGTATGATTGTTTACCCTTAAATAAATGACATGATTAATTAATGGATGTCTACTACTTGCTTGGTTTACTTTTTATTTTATCCGTCTTCGTTTTTCTTTCATGCATTGTATTATGGCCCAGTCACGTTAAGCACATGTTAATCTGCAATTAAAATTAATGATCGCAAATTCATTTCTTCTTCTGTTTCTGAATGTTGTTTGAATGTTAACTTCGTCTGAATAACGAATAACCCGGCGGCAGTGAAATATAACTAACAAAATCCCTGATCGAAGCGACAGGATCATTTAATTTGTTTATTTGCAATTCCATCGTCTATTTCTTTCTAACAAACCCTCTTTCGATTAGCAAAGCAAACACCACGCCTCTGCTAATTGCAATAAAAGGTTCAATCGAGATACAAAGTTAAACGTCAATATAATATAAAAAGTAATCGAGATACAACTTCTTCACCAGATCACCAGAGATATAAGATAACAATACGACCCACAAAACTAAACATCAATTAGCCATCATCAAAGATCAGAGCAGCATTCATCTCTCTCTCTCTCTCTCTCTCTCTCTCCCCGTTATCAAAATCACAAGTTAGAAGATGTTTTGGATACCGTCATCACTTCTTCACTCTTTTGCTACTGTTTTTCAATATTGCCCTCGTTCTGGTTGCTTGTGCGGTTAAAGCCATTCCCGAAACTTGCAAGTGCGCTTTTATGGAGCAACTCCAATTCATGAAAATATGGACAAAGCTTGGCATTTTCAGGGCGCTTATTGTCCGATCCCATGCAGCTTCTGAAATACTTGTTGATGTTTTCCCATTTCTCCCTGCACTTCCTTCCTGACCGGACGTAGCCCATTTCATGCATCTTAACAGATATCTCCTCCCATATGCGTCCCTTTGGAGTACCTGCAACGGGAAACTTGTGTTCGAAAGCAGCCCGCTGCGTTATGAGGGCCTGTACTTCAGCTTCTGGCCATCTTCTATCCGTTGCATCACTATGGCTCACCAACTTCAGGTCTCTCTGCATGCCATTGTCTGCCTTCCCATTTCCTTCCGCGCGTTGGTGATCATATTTAGGTACTACCGATATTGGTATTGGTGCTGCTGTTGGTGCTGGTGCTCGTTCGGGTGCTGTTGCTGCAGATGGTTGGGGGACTTGAATTTCATAGCCCAAATAATTCTGGATAAAGGAAATGAGCGCAAGGTCGCGAGATGTCTCTTGGGCTCTTATCTCCTTATCCCTTTTCAGTCTGTCTAACTCCTGCTGCTTCCAATGAAAAGCAGCAGCAGCCGACGCCATAGAGGTGCCATAGTAGTATAGTACTGGTGGTGATCAATTACCCTGCTGCTGGTACCACTACTAGTACCGGCCCCCTTGGCCAAGGACTCGCTTCTCATTAAGGAGGTCGTGGAGGACCCGCGCTCGCCCTCCATCTCGCGGTAGCGGTGCAGGTAGAGGGTGAGTGGCTCGATGTAGTCATCAAAGCCGAGCTTGCTCATGGCCCACAGCACGTCTTCAGCAGCGATGGTCTTGCGCTGCTCGCGCTGGCAGCGCTCGTTGGCCTCCCCGGTGATGAAGCTGATGTACTCGGAGACGCACTCTTGGATGGTTTCCTTGGCGTCGTCGGAGATCTTAGCATGTGGGGGTAGGATCAGTTGGAAGTCAACCAGTCTCCAGCAACACAAACTAGAAGCTAACGGCTAGTTTTGTGTAAATAGGCTAACGGCTAGTTTTCTCAAGCTAAAGTCCAAGAGACAAATGAAGGGCTGAGATTGAAACTGTGCTGTAAGGCTTAAATTAGAGTAGTACAATGTTAGGTTGTGTTCCTTGTCTTATTCCTAAAGTGAGATAAGAATGTTGACTGTAAAACCCTACTACTCTGATGACATATATATATGAAATGAATGATGTTGCAATGATAAGTAGCTGTCACTCTTATTCTCATTCCCTCTTACTCTGAGTACCTCATAGAAATACTCACTGAAATTCCTTACAAAACAATCAGAATACAAAACATTAATATGGCCTCAGAGCTCAAGTTGGATTAAAAAAACCAGTTAGGCATTGTGAAGCTGTTTTTTAGGGGAGATTTCAAGTATTTGAACCCCCAGAAAGTGATTCAAGAACCAAGAAATGTCTGGGCCAAGTAGCAGCTGTGGTGAGCTTAAAACTCCCATTTTTAATGGAGAGAACTATGATTTTTGGAGGATAAGGATGACCACCATTTTCATGTCTCAAGACCTGTGGAAAATGGTTCAAGAAGGGTATGAAGTACTATATTCAGATGATGAGTCAGAGGATGATGAAGAACTCATTGCAACTCAAAGAGCATCTCTGGGAGAAAATGGGATGAAAGATGCTAAGGCGCTGGGGATAATACAAGGAGCAGCCTCAAATGCTATTTTTCCTTGGATATTAAATGAAAAGACATCCAAAGCTACTTGGGAAGTTCTTCAAAGAGAATACAGATGTGACAAGAAGGTAACCAAAGTAAAGCTTCAATCTTTAAGACGTGATTTTGAACATACTCACATGAAAGAAGATGAACCGTTTAATGATTACTTTACTAGTTTGTTTGATGTTGTGAATCAAATGAAAACTCTTAGTGAAGAACTACCTAGGGAAAGACTTGTACAGAAATTGTTAATCAGTTTGACAAAACCCTATGACTTTATAGTAAATGTTATAGAGGAAACTAAGGACATTGATACACTTGATGCACAAAAGGTTACAGCCTCATTGAGAGCTTTTGAGCAAAGGCTAGAAAGACATGCTGATGCAGCCACATAAAGGGCTTTTCAGTCACTTAGTATCAATCCTAGAGAGGGCAGTTCAACTGGGCAATACAACAGTTTCAAGCAACAAAAGAAGCCATGGAAAAGGGAATCTAAGAAATGGGAAGAAAGACCAAGTGAGTCTACCAAAAAGAATGGTGTTGGTGGGACAAAACCACAATGTACAATTTGTGATAAGGCATATTTTGGTGTTTGTTGGTTCAAGGGGAAACCTAAATGCAGTAAATGTAACAAGTTTGTCCAAAGATTGTGGTTCTAAAAGAAACCAACTAGTGAACTATGCACAAAAGACTGAAGGACAAATGTGTTATATGCTTGCAATGTCACAACTGTTGAGAAAAACAAAGATATATGGTATATTGATAGTGGGTGTATCAATCATATAACTGCACATGAGTCTCTTCTTATCAATATTAACAGAGAATTCACTGGGAAGGTTAAGATGGGCAATGGTCAACTTGTAAGTGCCATTGGTAGAGGCACCTTGGTGATTGACACAAAGCAAGGAAGGAGACACATCAAAGAAGTTATATTGGTACCTAGACTTCATGAAAACTTATTGAGTGTAGGCCAAATGATCATACATGGTTATTTCTTACTCTTTGGAGATTCAGTGGTTAAAATCTTTGATGATAGAAGTTTGCAGAACATGGTCACAAAAGTAGTAATGACAAAAAACAAGAGTTTCCCATTGTTACTCAACTATAATCAAGCTATCTCATTGAGAGCTAGTGTCACAGAGAGTACTTGGTTGTGGCATAAGAGATATGGTCACTTGAACTTTCAAAGCTTGAAAAACCTGCAGAGAATGGAGATGGTTCAAGGACTACCAAAACTGCATGGAGAAAATGAAATATGTGAAAGGTGTGTTTTAGGCAAGCACCATAAAGAGAGTTTTGAAGCAGGAAAGTCTTGGAGGGCTACATAACCATTGGAAATCATCCACACAGATGTATGTGGTCCAATGCAAATTGCAACAATGAGTGGTAACAAATACTTCCTAACCTTCATAGATGACTATTCTAGAATGTGTTGGGTATACTTCATGAGACAAAAATCAGATGTATTCAGTATATTCAAGAAGTTCAAAATGATGGTTGAATTGCAATGTGGTTACAAGATCAAGAAAGTAAAAAGTGATAGAGGAGGTGAGAACACCTCAATCGAATTCAACTCTTTCTATGAAAGCATGGGATTATAAAGACAGTTGGCAATGGCTTATACCACTCAACAAAATGGGGTTACTGAGAGGAAGAACAAAACCATAATTGAAATAGTGAAGTCCATGCTCTATGAAAAATGGATTCCTTATCAATTCTAGGGAGAAGTTGTGAATATAACTGTCTATTTGTTAAATAAATGCCCAATAAGTTCATTGGAGAAGAAGACTTTATTTCAAGCCTTTAACGGAAGGAAACCAGGTGTGAAACACTTAAAAGTGTTTGGCTCAATATGCTATACACTAATACCATCATAGTTGAGACACAAGCTGCAGGAAACCAGCAACAAGTGCATTTTTGTAGGTTATGATAACTGTGAAAAAAGGTATAGATTGTTTAACTTGAAAACACAGAAAATCAAGATCTTAAAGATGTGGTCTTCAATGAAGATACAAGGTGGAATTAGGAAGATGGTGTAAAAGCTGACATATCAGTACCAATGACAATTGTTGGAACTGACAATGTAATTGAGTCACAAACTCAAATCTCTGCTCACTCACCAAATCAGTCTCAACAATCTCAGTTGCAGCAATCACCTCAACATACTTCACCTCAATCTCATAGTGAAAGTTCTCAAAATACACATAATTCTATCTCCCAAAACTCCACTCCTAATTCTACTCCTGTGAAATTGAAGAGCTTGAGTGAGATATATGCAACCTACAATTTCTGCATAGTGAAGCCTGAGAACTTTGAAGAAGCTGAGAGTGATATAGCTTGGAAGAAAGCCATGGAAGATGAAATGGCAATGATTGAGAAGAATTCCACTTGGGAATTAGTTAATAGGCCTAGCGACAAGCCTATGATAGGTGTCAAATGGGTGTATAAAACTAAACTTAACCTGGATGGCACAATGCAGAAAAACGAAGCAAGATTGGTGGCAAAAGGTTACTCTCAACAACCAGGAGTTGATTTCAATGAGACATTTGCTCTAATAGCTAGATTGGACACCATTAGAACTTTGATTTTTCTTGCTACACAAAAGGGTTGAATTTATTTCAACTTGATGTTAAATCTATATTTTTGAATGGTATACTTAAGGAGGAAGTTTATGTTGATCAACCTCAAGGATTTGAAGTCAAAAATGAAGAGAACAAAGTCTATAGGTTAAGAAAAGCATTATATAGGCTCAAGCAAGCTCCAAAAGCATGGTACAGTGAGATTGACACTTACTTTTCGCAAAGAGGGTTCAAGAAAAATCCTAGTGAAGCCACTGTGTATGTGAAATGAGGAAATGGAACTGATGTGCTCATAGTTGCAATTTATGTTGATGATGTGATATTCACTGGCAACAATGAGAAAATGATGATATATTTCAAAAAAGATATGATGTAGAAGTATAAAATGTCAGACTTGGGGTTATTGCATTATTTCCTTGGAATTGGAATTATTCAAGGAATTGAAGGGATATTTATCCACCAAAAGAAATATGCTCAAACCTTGTTAGAGAAGTTTGGTCTTAAAGGTTGTAAATCAGTAGCTACACCACTGATCTCAAATGAGAAACTCATCAAAGATGATGGAACAGAACCTGCTAACTCCTATCTTTACAGGAAAATTGTTGGAAGTCTTCTCTACTTAACTGCCACTAGACCTGGTGTGATGTTTACAGCAAGTCTGCTTTCCAGGTTCATGCATAATCTAACTAAAATTCACATAGGAATAGCTAAGAAGGTACTCAGATACATTGCAGGAACCATTGATTATGGTATCAAATATGACAAAGGTGAGGCTACCATTTTAGTTGGATTTTGCGATAATGATTGGGGTGGTAGTGATGATGATATGAGAAACACCTCAGGGTATGCCTTCACTCTTGGTTCAGGGATTTTCTCTTGGGCTTCAGTGAAGCAGCAAAGTGTTTCTTTGTCCACTGCAGAAACTGAATATGTATCAGCTGCAGAAGCCACTTCACAAGCTATTTGGCTTAGGTTTGTTCTAAAAGACTTTGGAGAGTTGCAAGTAGATGCCACACCTCTAATGTGTGACAATACATCTGCCATAGCCATGACAAGGAACCTGTCTTCCATCAGAAGATAAAGCACATCAAAAGGAAATACCATTTCATAAGGGAAGCTTTGCAAGAAAATGTGATAGAACTGTTCTACTACAAATCAGAAGAGCAAATTGCAGATATCTTTACCAAGGCATTGCCTAAGGAAAGATTCGTGTATCTCAAGGAGTTACTTGGAGTGCAAGCAGGAAACAATTTGAAGGGAAGTGTTGGAGGTCAATCAGTCTCCAACAACACAAACAAGAAGCTAACGGCGTGTAAATAGGTTAATGGCTAAGTTTCTCAAGCTAAAGTCCAAGAGACAAATGAAGGGCTAAGATTGAAACTGTGCTGTAAGGCTTAGATTAGAGTAGTACAATGTTAGGTTGTGTTCCTTGTCTTATTCCTAAATTGAGATAAGAATGTTAACTGTAAAACCCTACTCTGATGATATATATATATATATATATATGAAATGAATGCTGCTGCAATGATAAGCAGTTGTCACTCTTATTCTCATTCCCTTTTGCTCTGAATACTTCATAGAAATACTCACTGAAATTCCTTACAAAACACTCAGAATACAAAACATTAACAGGATCTTGCGCATGATTCTTATCACATTGGTTATCGGCATGAAACGGTCTTGATCTCGCACCGTGCACTCGTTATCATTGGTAGTGCCATTAGTGGTATTGGCATTGGAGGAGTGGTTAACGTTGTTGGTGGTGGTAGTTTGTCTCCCCATCCCCATGCTATATTGGTTCATCTCAGCCGGCCTCACGTTGATATCTGATAGTTTCAGCCCTGCATGGTCCCTCAAAATATTTTAGTACACAAATGATCGTGAAAATAAAGTAATACTTGCAGTACATTTATTTTTGTTTTTTTTTTCATTAACTTTATTTTCATTTATACAAAGGGCACGAATACATGGACAGAGTTCGAATGTTAAAAATAAACAAAAATACTACTAATATTAACTATTTGTATCATCTCATTCATCCTTTTAACAGAGATATAAACCGCGTGTTGTAGATTCTACCTCTAATAGAAAGAAGGTATAAATAATATTATGATATGTGATACGTATATAAATAATGTTAAAACACGTGGTAAGTGTCATGTGGAGCTGGGGCCACGGGAGTACGTAGGTACGTCACTTTTTGGAAGCCAGATTAAGGGGAAGGAATCACATATTGTAGTATAAATTAATTATTAGGGTTTTGCCTTTCGTGCTTAGATTTAAAGTTAAGTCATTGCAAAACTAGAGTATCAATGTATAATGCGATTTTTTCATCAGAAAATCGATTATTATGATTTACAGAAGCGAATTTATTAATTTAATTTCGTGAAAGAATACGTCTTTAACCGGACCGCCGGCAAGGCAACGATTCCCCTTACACTATGATCAGGCGGGGACTGAGGGGTTTCATTTGCATCGCATCGTTCCCAATCGTTGTAGCCCTGCACAGACAGACACCATGCACATTATACATACACCCCACCACCACTACCACCACCAGCCCGACCACCACCACTCTTCCTCAACATTCATCGCCATTCAACTGTTGGTATTATAATTTGAAGAAAATATGGATCAAGTGAGTGTCTCCATTCTGGTATTCCTTTTAGTGGCGGCCATTGTGTTGTTGGGGCCTCTGCTGATGGGTCCGCTGCACCCTCCTGCTCTTGCTCTGATCCTGGTCATCCCCATCATTTTGGGAGTGGTTTGGTTCTTTATGAACCAGGCTTGAATCATGCCAATGACGCGGCAATCATGTCCTATATCTATATGCATAATAACATGCAATCTATTGTATGATTGTTTACCCTTAAATAAATGACATGATTAATTAATGGATGTCTACTACTTGCTTGGTTTACTTTTTATTTTATCCGTCTTCGTTTTTCTTTCATGCATTGTATTATGGCCCAGTCACGTTAAGCACATGTTAATCTGCAATTAAAATTAATGATCGCAAATTCATTTCTTCTTCTGTTTCTGAATGTTGTTTGAATGTTAACTTCGTCTGAATAATGAATAACCCGGCGGCAGTGAAATATAAATAACAAAATCCCTGATCGAAGCGACAGGATCATTTAATTTGTTTATTTGCAATTCCATCGTCTATTTCTTTCTAACAAACCCTCTTTCGATTAGCAAAGCAAACACCACGCCTCTGCTAATTGCAATAAAAGGTTCAATCGAGATACAAAGTTAAACGTCAATATAATATAAAAATTAATCGAGATACAACTTCTTCACCAGATCACCAGAGATATAAGATAACAATACGACCCACAAAACTAAACATCAATTAGCCATCATCAAAGATCAGAGCAGCATTCATCTCTCTCTCTCTCTCTCCCCGTTATCAAAATCACAAGTTAGAAGATGTTTTGGATACCGTCATCACTTCTTCACTCTTTTGCTACTGTTTTTCAATATTGGCCTCGTTCTGGTTGCTTGTGCGGTTAAAGCCATTCCCGAAACTTGCAAGTGCGCTTTTATGGAGCAACTCCAATTCATGAAAATATGGACAAAGCTTGGCATTTGCAGGGCGCTTATTGTCTGATCCCATGCACCTTCTGAAATACTTGTTGATGTTTTCCCATTTCTCCCTGCACTTCCTTCCTGACCGGACGTAGCCCGTTTCATGCATCTTAACAGATATCTCCTCCCATATGCGTCCCCTTGGAGTACCTGCAACGCAAAACTTGTGTTCGAAAGCAGCACGCTGCGTTATGAGGGCCTGTACTTCAGCTTCTGGCCATCTTCTATCCGTTGCATCACAAGAGCTCACCAACATCAGGTCTCTCTGCATGCCATTGTCTGCCTTCCCATTTCCTTCCACGCGTTGGTGATCATATTTAGGTACCACCGATATTAGTATTGGTGCTGCTGTTGGTGCTGGTGCTTGTTCGGGTGCTGTTGCTGCTGATGGTTGGGGGACTTGAATTTCATAGCCCAAATAATTCTGGATAAAGGAAATGAGCGCAAGGTTGCGAGATGTCTCTTGGGCTCTTATCTCCTTATCCCTTTTCAGTCTGTCTAACTCCTGCTGCTTCCAGGCTTCTTCTCTTGCTAATCTCTCTTCCTTCTTTTCTACCATCTCCATTAACTGCTTATGCATCTGCTCTTGCTGCTCCATCACTTTCTTCACCAGACTTCCCAGAAATAGCTCGACCCTTTCAATTTCAAGCCCGTTTCCGCTCCTCGGACTCGTCTTTCTCTTCCGGTTCACGGGTTCTTCACCTTGCGCTTTTAAACACTTGTCACGATCATCATCATGTGGTGATGAACTGAACGAAAATAGACAACACTCTGATTAAAACATAAACCTGACGCCCCCGGGGGACGACCACGGTAAAAATGAGAAATTTAATTTATTTTACATATTTATTTAAAAATAAAAGGAAAATAAAAAAGGAGGTAAAGCCGGGGAAAGGTAACAGCGGCTCGAGCGAGGGCTTTTGGGTTGAGAAGTTGAGAGTAGGTGGGTGAAAACGGAAAGTAAAATAGAGGTAAAAGGCCCTTTAAAACTTGAATTTACGGAGGTCACCAATTTTGTCGGTGGAGTCACGTGCCTACTGCGTGATCATCTCGCATGCCACGTCTGTGGCCATCCCTCTTTTCCTTTTTTGTATTTTGGTCAACAACGGCCACCGACTTCTCTCCTAACTAACATTGGTCAGCTCCGTGCTCCTCGTCGATAATCATGAATGGCTGCCAAAACTGAAAGTGGTGGTGGTGGTGGAAGGGAGGTGAAGAAGGTGCTTAATGCAGTGAATGACCATTACGGAGGTGTGATCGTCCACGTCACTGAGCCCATGGAGCCTGCTACCTTCGTATCCTCTCTTACCTCTTCAATTGCGCATTGGAAGCTGCAGGTATTTACTTCAACCCATCATAATGTCATCGCCAATCTTCATAGGATCGATAGGAGAGAGTGTTTTCGCTATAAGTAAACACTAAATACTTATCTTTTTCTGCTAAAAGCCTAAAAGTAGTCATAAGCGTTTTTAGTTGTTAGAAAAAGGCTTGCATAAGCGGTTCCAAACAGACCCTTAGGTCGGCATAGCCTAGCCCAGCCCAGGTTCATTGGGATTCTTATCGTATATTCTAAGTTTTAACAAAGCATTAATATTTGTGCAGGGAAAGAAGGGTATTTGGATCAAATTGCCAATAGAGCGAGTCAATCTTGTTGAAGCTGCGGTCAAGGTCAAGCTCCTATTCTGTTCATGCTTTTCTTCTTCTTGTTAATGTTAATAATTCAAATGTGTTCTGTATATGTATAGATTACTTATGATATATTGGGCAGGAGTGAATTGCAGGAAGGATTCTGGTACCACCATGCAGAGCCTGATTATTTGATGCTTGTGTATTGGATTCCTCAGTCCCCTCATACTCTTCCCACAAATGCAACACACCGTGTCGGAATTGGTGCCTTTCTTATCAATCAAAACAGAGAGGTATATGCATTTTCTAACACCCCAGCCACCATTATCACTTTTATCTCAAATGTCCATACAGTGCATCTTTCTTTCAATTTGATTTAATTTACTCAAAGTAAGGGAACTCCTCTATCTTTATGTAGTTATAAATCTACAGTTTCCACATCTTGCACGCTTCATTTGTGTGCGTGTGTGTGTTTATGTTCTTTCCATTGAACAGTCATCTGAGTAAGTGGCCAATAATCTTTTAAGATTATGCCTAAAGAGGGAATTTTTCATGTCTATATTAATTTTCTGGACTTGCATAGTCCTACAACTGGCTTATCATGTCTGAAGAGTTACGTGAGATCCATTTATTAATTTTCAGTTAACCATTTTCAGAAGAATGCGCGTTACTTACAATGCTTGATACCTGTCACCACATTTATTGTTTTTCATGATCCTGCTGTCATGGCTAAAACTTTTGGGTTTGTGAAATTTGAACGATAGGTGCTAGTAGTCCAAGAAAAGGGTGGACAATATCGTGGGACAGGTGTGTGGAAGCTCCCTACTGGAGCCGTTGATGAGGTGTGTCATGTGTGCATTCTAACAAGCATTGTTTTCCATTCTCAGATCTTTTGACTTTGGTCTAGTCTAAACCGTATATTGAAAAAATTATCATCTCCCAGGGAGAAGATATCTTTGCAGCTGCTGTCCGAGAAGTGAAGGAAGAAACAGGAGTAAGTAGTTTTCCGACTTACCATGTAGTGAGTGTATATATTAGATTATTAATGTGATTTATCATTTCATGTTTTTTGTTATCCTGTTGTCTCAGATTGACTCAGAGTTTGTGGAAGTTCTTGCATTCAGGTATGAATTTTATGAAGTCCTTGTCTACGAAATTATCAATTCGATGGAGCCATGTGTAAGCTTATAAACTTAAATCCGACTACCTTGTACAATGATTTGCAATTTTTACCTGCGACCATGAACCTACATTCCAACTTAAGTATTTAGGGGGAAGCATGTCATTCACTTAACAAAATTTTATGTGTCTCAGTTCAATATATAGATGAGTTATATCTTCATTGTATTTGAATGTTTAATCCAACTTTTGTAGGTATTTGTGGATTAACAAGAATTCTTAATTTGCTCCAATAAGAGCTATTTTAGGCCATGATATCTTGACTATTACAGGGATTAAAGACTTCTGAACATTCCTTGGACTGCATTATTTTATCAGACCGCAAAAAATGACTGCATTGTGTTAGAAATTTGAGAGACACACCTCATTGCCTTTCTCTAAGTATATAGTACGATTCGCGTTAAGTATTTCTGATGTTGAGTTGTTGGTTCCTTTCCTCTTTTATAATGAAAATTATGTCCTTCTTACCATTCATGTAATTTGCAGACAGAGTCACAAGTCATTCTTTGAGAAGTCAGATTTATTCTTTTTGTGCATGCTACGGCCCCTCTCTTTTGACATCCAGAAGCAGGAACAAGAGATAGAAGCAGCCAAGGTACGAACCCTTTTGTTGAGCTAACAAACTAGAATGGATATAGCTCATCAAGTCATCACCAATTGGTCCAATTTCCTTCCTATTTCACCGTCTGATGTAATCTTTCTGCATTGAACTCCGTTCATACATATTAAGCTTGACCGTAATGCATTTTGCAGTGGATGCCATATGAGGAATATGCAGCACAACCATTTGTGCAAAAGTACGAGCTTCTAAAGTACATGCATGACATATGCAAAGCGAAGATAGATGGCAAGTATTCGGGATTCTCTCCTCTACCCAGTAGAAGTTATTCTCTTCACAAGAGCTACTTGTACTTGAATGGCAGTAAGGCACCCAAGAGGAGGAGTAAACTGTGATCATCGAGGCCCTTGAAATTCCACTAAATTAAAGCTTTTGTATTTTGTACTTTCCCAAATATATCTTGTGTCTTCCATCATCTGTAAAACATACTGATAAAGTCAATGAGAACATTGGAAGAGAGAAAATGGAAAGATGTAGCTCTTGAAGTATATTCATAATGTATTGTAAACTTTGTACTTTCCCAAATATATCTTATTGTGCATTGAAACATTTCTACGTTCGTGACTCTGCTCAAGTCTGTCTGTATTGTAAACTTAATTGCTGTGCGGTATAAATCTTGACTGAGAATAAGAGAAAATGGAAAGATGTAGCTCTTGAAGTATATTCATACAGTTGTTTGTAATGGCTTAAATGCTTACTTTGCAGTGGATGCCATATGAGGAGTACGCAGCCCAACCATTTGTCCCGAAAAACGAGTTTCTGAAATACATCAATGATATATGCAAAACAAAGATGGATGGGCAGTGTTCAGGATTTTCTCCAGTACGTGCATCAAGTTTTTTCTGATTAAAAGGCGAGCTACTTGCTCTTGGCTAAGGCACCCAGGAGAGACGGTGGAGTTTGATCATTGGCGGGTGCTGGAAATTATCGAGCAAGGGAGTTTACTTTGTAATCCAGAAGAAAAAAAAAAATGATTTTCGCCTTTTGTCTTTCTGAAGTGTACGGAAGCAGTGTAACAACCGCCATGTAATCAGAACCATGGTTTAATAACAATTTTAAACAAATTATCTCCGACTCCGAGTCTTTGTCAAGGTTATACTGATAAGGAAACTGGTTCGGTTAAATCTTATTTAAGTTTGGATTGTATTTGAAATTTAAATTTCTGTTTGGTACTCTACTTGAATCCAACATTTTAAATTTAAAAACAATTTTCAAGTTTTAAGTCTTAAAAACTTGTTTGGTAGGATTATTTTCAAAAACTAAATTCATGACTAGATTCATGACTAACTCAAAAATATAGTTTATTCTCTTCCCCCTCCCCTCTCACTCTAAATCTATATCTCTCTTTTCTTCTTTCTATCTCCTCTTTTTTTTTTTTTTATTTTTTATTTTTTATTAATTTTATCTTTTTCGTCTCTTCTTCAATCCGCTCTCTTCATTCTTTCGGTTCTTTCTCTCACTCTTTTTCCTCTCTATCTCGTCTGATCCTCTCTCTTCTTTCTCTTTTCTTCAATTATCTCTTATTTTCTTTCCTCTTCTCTCATCTTTCTCCTTCTTCTACGACCTCATTTTTTTAGATCTCTTTGTCTAGTTTAAGTCGTAAAATTTAAAATTTTAAATCGCAAACCAATCAAGTTTTTGAGTCTTAAAGAAAATTGTTTTCAAAAAATTTTCTTAAAAAATGTTTTGAGAAATGATAAAAAATTTCAAATAGAATACCAAACAAGTCTTAAGAAACTTGTGAAGTTTCAATTGTGTTAGCCATTGTCCATGGAGGATAAACAAAATCAAACCTACCTTGGTCTCCCATGCCCGGTGGGGGGTCTGTAACCGGATCCGTACAAATGACCTTGATGTTGTTGATGACCCATCATCATCATGGTTCTGGACTGCGCCATCCCACCATGCATCCCATTAATATTATCTGCTGCAGCACCATGACCATGCACATGCAACTGCTCTCTCTGATGATCATGATGACATTCATCAAAGTGCCTTCCGTGGCCTGCAGACATTGGAGGCAGATTGTCTGCCCTCCTAATATGGTGCCATTTTCAGTGCCTTCCTATTTTGTGCTGTCACGGTTAAGCCATATCAACATTTTATATTGATTTTTTTATAGAGATAATAAGACAAAAAAAATAGGAATATAAAATATTGACGTCGGTTAATCGTGATCGCACAAATAGGAGGACATGGAGAGGGCACCATAACAGGAGGGCAGACAACCTGCCTCCGCAGACATTCCTGGTCCAGTAACAGTTCTAGCAGCACCAGTACTAGTACTACTAGTCATCTTTTCACCCTCCATCTCTCTAAACTTGTGAAGGTAAACCAAAAGGGTGCGTTTGTTGCACCGGACTATCTGGGATTGGACTAGCCTTAAGAACTAAACTGAATTGCCTTAAACTAGATTAAGCTGGATTAACTTAGTGAAGTGTTTGGTGTAATGTAGGACTAGGAGCAAAATAATGACGAAAAAGAAAAAAAAAACATGATCTGAAACAAAATATTCTCATCTAATGAAAGTGAACACCAACATGAAAGTTTCTGCATAATTAACCAAATTCTTTAATTTGCTATCCCAGAAAAGCATAACTACTGAAATCATTCAATTTGCTCAACCACTCCAAATTGCTCAAAAGCTCT